GTAGGTTATATATAAATAAATATTTTATTTTATAAAGCAAAAAAGTGGAAAAATATTTAAGTAAAACATGAATATTAATTATATTCTATAGAAGTTTACCAATAATTAATAATTCTTACTTTCACATCATTATTTATGTTGATGCCTGATCGTTTTAAACGAAATTTAATATTTAAAATATTGTTTTTTTTTATGTTATTTATTCTAATATTTCAGTTACAATATATCATATTAAAGTGCTTTGTTTAGTCGATTTACTAAATAATTTGATGTCGCGATTCATTAAATTCAATTCCTCACGTTATGTTTTCAAAATGGAAGAGAATCACGAAAATAGTTTTGGATATAAACAACCACATTCTTTTACAATGATTAATTGTAAAGATGTAGAGCATATTGAACCATTAAAAATTATATTTATAGATATCATTATTTTAATTTCATGCTTTTGCATTAAATTATTTTACTACTTTAAATGATTTATATAGATTTGTTTTTTTTTCAAGCTACTTCTTATTTTTGTTTATTTTCAGTTATTTTTTCTTATTTTAAACTTATTACTCCTGACATTTCCTGTGGCGACGTGAGAGAGAATTGTGCTACTGCCAGAAAAATCTGGTTCGAATCAAATTTCCCATTCCCCTGCGGCGACACAAAGGAAAATTACATTTCTCCCAAAAGGATTTTTGTTCGAACGAGGTACTACAAATGCTTTCTTATAATATATCAATGGAAAGGAGATTAATGAACAAGAATACTATAAACAGATTGCTTCTGTATTTAAATATTCGGTTCCTTCAAATTAAACATAGACTCAGACGTCTAATATAAATATGTGATTTATTGTACACTCTACACTGAAAAACTCGACCCCTTCACCTGCACAGTGGCGCCCTATTCTCCCTCAATATCGTTAGTGTTGCCATTACAGTCAATATTTCATTTGAAGGAACCAAATACTGTACTATTTTTTAAATATAATATTAATAAAAATAAAACTGTAACAAATAAATATTTGCAATTTACTTATTTATAGTATTTTGAAATGAATATTTAAACAGAATATTTAATTATTCAATTAGACATCCATTTATTGGAAAATCGAAGTTCGTGTAATTATGAAACAAAATTTAAATTTTAATAATTAATAAAGTTCTCTCTTATAATGTAAAACTTATTTATACAAATCCGGAAAAAATTTAAATAAAATATTCTTAAAATTATTTAAAACTTTAAACGTTGCTAAATTATTAATTTATTCATTTTATTAATAACGAATTAAATGCTTAAAATATTTAGTATAATTTAATATTTTTAATTTATTAATATCGAATTTAATATTTATTAGCGATGATTCGATTCTAGGAAGATGCTTTGTTTCCATTTCTTTACGTTCTTGATACTTAACAATAACTACGAAATTAATAATAATGAAAAGATTTAAAACTTATTTAAAAATAACCGTAATATTTGTAAATCAAGTTTTATTTGTAAGTAAATTTTACATTAAGAAAAATACAGAATAGAAAGCTTATATTCATTTATCATCATTACAGTTGTTAGGTCTAATTGTTTTGGTATCCAGCATCATTTTGAAAGATGATATTGAAGATATTGAAGATTTATTGGACGAACAGGTTTACAATTTACAAAATATCCCAATTTTATTGACACAATTTAGTTTCAAATCATTACTTGGCATCCTAACTGCATCGATGATCAATGGAATTGTTGTCATAGTAGTGTCTTTTGTGGGTTGCTATGGAGTTTATTATGAAAGCATCTCGTCATTGAAATTCGTACGTTTTGAATAATTTTATGAATATTATCATTTCAAATTCTGTTCATTAAATGAGTAATTTAATATTATTTAATTAATAGCATCTAATATTTTCAAGTATTGCTACTTTTCTTGATTTTATCGTATTACTTGTACTATTCGTTGAAACTAGAAAGGTATTTTTTTTTATGTATTATCGATATGTTATAGATATTATTATAGATGCTTTCTTCAAATGTCAATATTTTGATTTTCAGATGCAGTCTACAATTGATGAAGACATCTGTGATTTGATTGTAAGAAACCATTTATTTATATTCTATAAGATACATCATAAATTTTTACGTTGTTTTTTTTAAAATAAATCAAATTTTCTAGAATATTTATTAGCTAAAGATTGATGCAATGGGATATATTAGCATAATAGTACATTCTAATGTATGATTATGCTAATACATAATAATCAGAATATATTATTTGTATAATTTTTTAGAATTTAAGGTTGATTAATACAATACTCTAATTTTTTTTCTCCTTTTAAGTTCTAGTTTTTATAATTAATATTTATCAAACTAATGAAACTAAGCTTGATTTTAAGTGGTACAAAATTGTAAATTTATTCTGTAATTACTCTTTAATGGTGTCATTTTTATTTAATTAAAAAGTGAAATTTATTGTTGTAAATTTGCGCCTTTTTTTCTAATAAAGTTATATTCATGTATTCTTTTTGGCATTTAAGTATGACTGATTTTATAATTATTATCGAGTTTAGTTTTATTACTTTGATAAATATTAATTATCAAAGATTGTATAAATGATTAATCGCTTCATTCTTCCTCGAAACTAGATAATCTAGTAAGTATAGTTGTTTTACAGGTCTAATGTTGAATAATAAGCTATGCAACGTTTTTATTATTTTTGAAAATTATTAAATAAATATTCAAATATATAAGATTTATACATTGTTAGAGAAAAAAATCAAAATTAAATTGAAATGTTAGAAAGGAAAAAGTATTGTTTGAGTGATAATTATTTTTTTTTTAAGATTTTAAAATACTTCCTTGAAACACTTTAGAAGGAAAAAGTAAGCAATTTTTAGTAGCAATTATAATACTCCTAATGCATTTATAAAAATAGATTTATAAAAGTAGTAATGATAATTACCATATAGATTATATACATATGTATACACTGATTTAAAAAAAAATTGTAAAGTGATGGAATTTAATAGTAATGAAGTCTGTTCTTCTATTAAATGTTTTTTTAAATATTCATATTAAACAGAATAGTATAGAAATAAACGAATATTTTCCGAAATTTTGACAAGTTTAAATATTAAAGTGATTTTTATTCTTAAAGTTTGATGCAATCAGATTTCCTATTTCAATTTCACTTTATCTTTATTGGAAAGAATGTAGAAAAATAAAATAACCTTGACACCATAAAAGTACAAAACACAATATAACCTGAGATAAAGAAGTTCGTGAGATTACGCATCATATGAAATACACAAAAAGCAATACTTCAGCGAGTAAATAATTTGCTTGTTTGCCTGTAAAAGGAGAATGAAATATACTAAAAAAAAAAAAAAAAAAAATTGTTCCTCTTGCCATTCTTTATATGACTGATAGGTTAAATACGTACGTACTTCCTTTACAAATAGATATATTTCATTTAGAAATTTTTTTATAATTTAATCAGTGCCAACTATGAATTTGGTTCACTAAAATTTTTCGAGTCCATATATTTACAATGGAACAAACTTTCATCTTAACACTCAGAATTGTTGAATTTTATTTATTATTAGTACAATGTAGTATTATTAGTACTTTAAATGAAAAAATAAATTACTGTCAAAGCTAATATTTGAACAATTCTGAACCATCTCCAATAGTAAATTTCTAATAGATCATAAATTTATTATTGGTAGAAAGAAAAAAATAATGTAGCAAAATAATTATTATGAATGTATTCATAGAAATTATTTTGACGATAATATATTCTGATAATCTTTCGCTCCTGCGATGTGAAAAGCTTCTACAAAGAGCTTATTATCTATTTTATAATGTGTCATTCGCAGAAAGCCAATACACATTTTTACACTGAGAAAATTGAAGATTGTAAACTTTAACGGATTAGACAAGTCAATAGTTGACTGAAGTGAATAGTTATACTTATACAATTGATAAAAGTGATGAGGTAAATCATACTGAGACATATATAGGAAAGGTTTCGAAAATTCGAATAAACTTAAGCCATCTCTACACATAAAAAGAGAAATTTCAGCACCATTATATCAATATCTAGGATTTTATCAAATGCTATTTTCAATTTGCAATTTAAACTGACATTGTATTGTAAAGTGCTTGATGATAAAGATAAAAATAAAAGTCGCTTTAAAGTTACTAAATAAATATAAAATCCTTTTAAATTTAAATTTGATTTTATAAGAAGAAATTTTGGATGGTAATATTTTTTAGTTTTATATATTTTAATTAAAAAGCAATATATTTAGTTGAATAACTTCGAATTTTATTTAAATTACGGTTCACTGGTATTAAATCTGGAATCTGATAGATAATATATGTAATAATTATTGCATATTTTTAAAAATTTTAAATTAAAAAAAAGCCATTTTTAACTCGTTTGCAGGATTATATCAAACTATATTTAATTATTAACAATTAAAGTTTTTAAATAAACTTAATTTTATGACTAATTAAAATATTATGTTTATTTTAATATTACGCTTATATTAAATGAAAATAGTCTAATCTCCAATATAAATTAATGTTAGTTTAATTAAATAGTAATTTATTCGAAACAGTTATTCATTGTTACACTTATTGTTCTTGTAACAGTCGTCTGAATTAGAGAATAATATAATTTTATAACAAATATTATTCGTTATTTGAGTTAGTATGAATTTAAAAGATTATTGTAACGATGAAATTAATTATTATATAAATTATCTAATGATTGACAAATCTTAGTTATGATATAAAGACTATATAAATAAGAAATCAAAATGTATTACTTTATTTATTAACATTATTTATTATTTATTAAAATTATTACTTCTGTTTCAAATGATTTTCTTGGTTGATCCTGAAGCCCCCTCCTTGCAAATAGGAGTTATAATAACCCTTTTCTTTTATGCTGTCGGTTATATAAAAATGGTTTGACAAATGAATAATCAAAATCTTCAAATTTTTAATAAAACAATGATGACATTTCCTAGTTTAAAATTAATTTGTGGATACGAAGAGGAAATTCAACTTGTAAGATCAGTATTTATTTGGTTTTCTTGATTATTGTTNAAAAAAAAAAAAAAAAAATTGTTCCTCTTGCCATTCTTTATATGACTGATAGGTTAAATACGTACGTACTTCCTTTACAAATAGATATATTTCATTTAGAAATTTTTTTATAATTTAATCAGTGCCAACTATGAATTTGGTTCACTAAAATTTTTCGACTCCATATATTTACAATGGAACAAACTTTCATCTTAACACTCAGAATTGTTGAATTTTATTTATTATTAGTACAATGTAGTATTATTAGTACTTTAAATGAAAAAATAAATTACTGTCAAAGCTAATATTTGAACAATTCTGAACCATCTTCAATAGTAAATTTCTAATAGATCATAAATTTATTATTGGTAGAAAGAAAAAAATAATGTAGCAAAATAATTATTATGAATGTATTCATAGAAATTATTTTGACGATAATATATTCTGATAATCTTTCGCTCCTGCGATGTGAAAAGCTTCTACAAAGAGCTTATTATCTATTTTATAATGTGTCATTCGCAGAAAGCCAATACACATTTTTACACTGAGAAAATTGAAGATTGTAAACTTTAACGGATTAGACAAGTCAATAGTTGACTGAAGTGAATAGTTATACTTATACAATTGATAAAAGTGATGAGGTAAATCATACTGAGACATATATAGGAAAGGTTTCGAAAATTCGAATAAACTTAAGCCATCTCTACACATAAAAAGAGAAATTTCAGCACCATTATATCAATATCTAGGATTTTATCAAATGCTATTTTCAATTTGCAATTTAAACTGACATTGTATTGTAAAGTGCTTGATGATAAAGATAAAAATAAAAGTCGCTTTAAAGTTACTAAATAAATATAAAATCCTTTTAAATTTAAATTTGATTTTATAAGAAGAAATTTTGGATGGTAATATTTTTTAGTTTTATATATTTTAATTAAAAAGCAATATATTTAGTTGAATAACTTCGAATTTTATTTAAATTACGGTTCACTGGTATTAAATCTGGAATCTGATAGATAATATATGTAATAATTATTGCATATTTTTAAAAATTTTAAATTAAAAAAAAGCCATTTTTAACTCGTTTGCAGGATTATATCAAACTATATTTAATTATTAACAATTAAAGTTTTTAAATAAACTTAATTTTATGACTAATTAAAATATTATGTTTATTTTAATATTACGCTTATATTAAATGAAAATAGTCTAATCTCCAATATAAATTAATGTTAGTTTAATTAAATAGTAATTTATTCGAAACAGTTATTCATTGTTACACTTATTGTTCTTGTAACAGTCGTCTGAATTAGAGAATAATATAATTTTATAACAAATATTATTCGTTATTTGAGTTAGTATGAATTTAAAAGATTATTGTAACGATGAAATTAATTATTATATAAATTATCTAATGATTGACAAATCTTAGTTATGATATAAAGACTATATAAATAAGAAATCAAAATGTATTACTTTATTTATTAACATTATTTATTATTTATTAAAATTATTACTTCTGTTTCAAATGATTTTCTTGGTTGATCCTGAAGCCCCCTCCTTGCAAATAGGAGTTATAATAACCCTTTTCTTTTATGCTGTCGGTTATATAAAAATGGTTTGACAAATGAATAATCAAAATCTTCAAATTTTTAATAAAACAATGATGACATTTCCTAGTTTAAAATTAATTTGTGGATACGAAGAGGAAATTCAACTTGTAAGATCAGTATTTATTTGGTTTTCTTGATTATTGTTTAAATAGGTGAAGCGTTAATAAATTCAAATTACTAACCTTATTCTTTTGACGTGATTTGAAAAAATTTCCCGTGGGATTTTTTTTTCTTATTATAATTTGCGATTTAAATTTTCATTTTTTGTATTTTATTTTCTTTCTGGAAAGTGTATTTTGAATAGTAAATGATTTCTTATTTCCTTTATTCTTAGTTTTCAGCTTATATTTCAAAATTCACCAAAATTAATAGAACTACAGGAAATGAGATTACTCGAGTATGAAATTCGACTTCAGTTGATTACTTTGATATTAGAAATGCTTAAACTGAATGAATTCTGGTAACTGTAAATACGTTCATTCGGAATTACTATTTTAAATTGAATTTTATACATAATTATTGAAAATACATATTTAAATGAATGATTTTTATTGTATTGTGTCATTATTTGAATAAAATTGGTAAAAAATTAAAGTAAAATAAATTAATAATAATATATTATTATATTTTACTTTTTTTTAGATCTGTCNTGTAAACCGTGATGTGAATAATTTGTGCAAGTTGAAATTCACTTTGGAAGTAATCCAAATTTCCATTTTCTGTCCTTGTTCTACTTTGCACATTGGAAAGATTTTCAAAGGTTCTCCCATAAATGCATCAATTTTTCGTATATAAATCCAGTTTATATATAAACAATATATTATTGACAGAACAGGATATTTTAATCATAAAAACTATTTAAGTAGTAACTGGTTTTTTAAAACCTTTTTTAGAATTTTAATGCTTATTCTGTAACGCACTGAAATTAATAGCTCTTAAGTATAATTTTTAATTGTTTTTATTATTAAATTTTATAGTTTACAAGAGCATAAAAAACTTTTTAACAGCTTAACAAGTTTGGCCATTTTGAATATTACTACTATTTAGAAATAGCTCTTGTTGTTAACTATGTATATTTCTACACATTAATTTATGCAGCAATTTAAATCGAATTTATTCTAGTATATTTAACTAGATTAATTAGACATTTTCACACAACAAATTTGGAAATTTGCCTACAAAACCCCTATTGTTTATCAAGGTCTGACGTTAGTTTCCCCTGAGAATCGAAGACTTGTTCCTATGATATTAAATTTGATAAAAGATTAATGATAACTGTAGATCGACCTCGTACCAAACACTTCCGAACTAAGATATTCATACTGGTTTCGTTTCCCCCCATGACCCTTCGACAATGACTACTCTTCACTCGTTGGTACTGACTGTGTATTAGTTAAATTAGAAAAAGCCATAAAATCATTTTATATTTTGCTACTGTTGAATTCTTTTATGTGCTTCAAGAATAATTTTTATGATGGAACATTTTAATACTTACATTAATCTTGTTTAATGCAATTTTTGCAAATAAAATCTAAACATTCCATTATAATTTATCATGTTTGATTTCATAAATTTTACATTCTGTTAATTCTATAAATTCATTCTATTAATATAGGATGAAATGTTAATTTATTCTACTTTTCATAACACTATTACTTATGTGCTTAAATTATTGAGGTAGACCACTTGACTATAAGGAAAGAATTAGAATAAATTAAAGTCTTTTGAATATTATAATAATAATAAACTATAATAGAAGCATTCTTAGATTCCCGTTTCTCATCGAGGTTTCTATCTTTGTAAAAGTGGCTCTCACGAGTTAATTGAATTCATGTTTAAGATTTTATTTTAATAAATCAGGACAGTTCTTAAGAACCGAAATAAGAAATATTGATATTTGAATTGTTTTATAAATGTTAAGAGAAATTAGTAGAGAAAATTGTAGAGAATTGTTAATGAAACTTTAACTTTACCAGTTTTCTGAAAAACCTTGGTAAATCTAACTGAAACATTCTTGATCTTGACACAATTATTCTTAAACTTAGATTGTATTATCCTGCGATCATGTTTACATCGATAATTGATTTAACACTTGAGAATTAAATATTCAAACGATAGGATATACTAGAAGAGACTGCGTATTTTGTCAACTTCGTAACCTTGGCCTCGTTTAAGAATTTTTTTGTTGAATTCTTTACTACTAACTTGATATTTAATGTCGTCAATGATAATATAATAATAGATGATCTCAGAGATTCCTTCGATCCGATTTATTAAATTTCGTTTTAATTATATATATATATTTTAATTTCGATAATCGACAAAGAAATCTTTGAAAGACATTTAGAGCTTTACCGTGTTTATTAAGTTCAAATGGAAGAGAAAAAAACAATTCTTCATTAAGTTATTTCCTCGTATATTAACACACTTTTTCTTCCTGTTTGTAAATGGGTTATTTTTTAATTCTGTAATATATTGATGCCTGATAAGGAACGTATTTTTTAAACTATTTTTTGATAGTTTAATGAAGTTAGTACCTCCAAATTAAACGTCAGTATTTTTAATGTGAACAACTTGATGCCATCTGTCGACATTATCAGATATTAAGCTTAAAATAACATGTTATTAGCACTAGTAATAATTAGAGTGGACTATAAATAATCACAATTGTTTAAAGATGAGTTGCACAGATTATTTTTTCAAGTATCAATGAATGGTTTCATCCTAACTATGAATAATTCAAAAATAAAATTCAATTGTCTTCGCTTGTTACTTTCTAACGTGAGATCAAGCAACCTGAATTTTACAGTATTAATATTCTGCTCTATACTCAGATGATAAATATTTTTATTTAATCTGTTATCACGATTCTTCTCGTGAAAGTTGATGAAGTGTAACGCTCTTGACATGTGCCCTTTTTTATTGCACATGACTGTCTAAATTTGAATGATATTTAATCCGAATTCGATTTTTTAAGTATTTGTATTGTTCAATACGTATTCTAATCAGGTTTGTTCTATAATAAATTACCGAGATGAACGTACTAAATATCACGCTTCAGGTGAAAGGTTGGATGCCTTCGTAGGAAGTGACCTCGTTTCTGAAAAAAATAGAAATTTAGGTCGTTCTTATGTTTTCTTTCCGATTTAAATATCTTATGTACAGATATGGTTGGTTACTTTTGATAGAAATATATGTATATTTTGCAGATGCTGAATCGGTGAAAAGTGACAGTGCTATTCTTCCTACTGTAACTGTGCGTGGTTTTCTAAACTTTCGAACTACGGTGGACAATACTGTTATAGTATTTACTTCGGCTGAATCTACTGCCACGGCAAAACCGACTATTGCCATAACTACTACAACCACCACATCAAAAAAGGCAACTCAAAGCAATACCGTTGATTCACAAATTGCTTTAGAATTACAAGAGTTGGCTTACACTCAATCTCCAGAAAAAAATTCTGTCGGGTTATACAAACTTGGTTCGGATTTGGAAAGTGATGCTCGTTCTGGTAAAAATTCTTTTAGTCACATTTCCGATAATGTCGTCGTACCTTCTCCAGTTAATGTCATTTCTGATGAGACCCAGCATCCCAGTAACAGAATTGAGACATCTCAACCTCAATATCCAACCGGTTTAGTTACTGTTCTAAGAGCATCCAGAATCGATAAAGATACCACTACTATCTACGAAACCAAAGTTATTGGAACATACATAGATGGAAAATATGCACAGATCCTGCAAAGTACATCAGACATAATAAAACCGTCTTCGGTTATTCAAAGTGTAATCAAATCTACCTCTTCTGTTATACAACAAAAAGTTGAGGATACGCAGAAAACATTGCCAACTACACAGAAATCCACATCGTCTACTACTCAGCAAATAATTGAAAGTACGCATAAAACAACGACCACAACTAGTAAATCAACAACTACTACTTTTTCAAGTACAAACATCCAGTCATCGTTTGAAATTCCCGATCAAACAATTCAATATACCTCTCAAACCCAATCGTTAGATTTAATAAAAACTAATGAAAAACCAATCAAGAGTTCCATCACAGTTACTGATGAAGATAATAGAGTTCAGAGTTCACCACAAGTCAGAAGAACAACATCGAGATACAGATACATTCATCCTTCTAGAGAAACTCAAACGGTATTTATTGTCGATTTTTCTAAGAAATTTTTATTTAATCTAACACTAATTCATATATATATAATTTTGTTTTTAGGTACGTCTAAATCGCTTTAAAGTTAGATTGAGTCTTCGCCAAGATTCTGATGAAACTACTACTACCGAATCTGACATTCCTGAAGATGTTAATAAAAATTCAATCAAACTGGAATCTAGATAAAATGAAAATATCATCGAGTATAAACTATATAAAATAGTTAATATCTATCCAATCTACGACTGATATAAACTTTTGATTAATTTCAAATTTCGTGGAAATATAACTACTTTTTCGCAGAAATATATACATTATTATAATGCAAATTCACTCGTTTACCATTGCATGTACAAAAGTTTATATCATTTATTAAAATGATGAAAACTTTTTTAGATTTTTGCCTTTGGTCTTTTAATAATTACGTAAATAAAAGTATAAAAATTCATTATATTTTATTAATTTTTAATATAAAATACTAAATCTGTTTTTTTTATATATTTTTTTTCTATTAATTTTTAAATAGATTTAGTATTTACTTCAATATTAAAAATTATTTTAAATAGATATAATATCAATATTAATTACATTATTAATGTGTGTTTTTCATTAATTTTTTTAAGTTATTTGATAAATTTTTTTATTCAGAGATCGGAAAAAATCAAGGAGTTTGTATTCAAGTGGATAAATTTTACAAGACGAAGTTGAAAACTATTAGAATTTTAGGAGATATTTTAGTGTTTGTGAGTTTCTTTATACTATTTTGTTTTCAGATAATAAAAATACACGAAAATTTAAGTATTATACATCAAATTCGCTCTCATCCTCGTCATTTATAATAATTAAATTATTAAGAAAATCTCGAGTTGTTATTGAAGTGAGTATTTACAATTTAAGAATTGTCTTGATTATCTTATTAATTACAGTCAAGTAAAATTAACGTTGTTTTCATTTTGGGCAATATTTTTCGAAATCCCTCGCTTGTTATTTCTTGTGAGTAATGTTCGTTCCTAATTAATTTATGATTAATTAATTTGTTCTTATTTAAAAAAAAATCTTTTTGTTTAACTTTTTAGTCGCTTTTTTTTCCTATTGTTAAATGGAGATTTGTCAACTTATAATTATAATTGCATTTCATATGCAGGTAAATGAAAACATTTCGCTTTAATAAAATACAATATAATCACATTTAAAATATTCTAATGAGTATTTTTATTTCAGCTATTGAAAAAAATCATATTGTTTGGTATATTTTTTATTTACTATTATTAAAAATTTTCCATAAATGAAATTTTAAATTTAATAAATTTTATTCATAAAATTTATTAAATATATTGGCTTATACCTTTAATGATGCTATCATTTTTTTTTATAAAGGTAGGTTATATATAAATAAATATTTTACATAATTCTAAATATTTTAAAACTTTATCTGATTTTTTTACAAATTTTTTCGGGTGTTTTTAGGTTACTTTATATTTAAATATTATTCACAATTTATTTTCGAGATGTCTGTTTTACACGCATGTTTTCTAAGTAAGTTTATTTAAATTATTAATATAATAGACTGTCCAATATATATTTTTTCGACTTTGATTTATGTTACAGCTTCGAAGAGCTTCTTCTTTTTTTTTTTTTTTAAATCTTCATCAAGAATATTATTTCCATCCGACTCAATGGAGCAGCTAGAAGTAATAGATTTAGAGCCTCTTTCCAGCTCTTCTAAATCAATAAATGAATTTCCATTTCCTACTTCATGTTTAAAAAATTTCAAAACATTTTCTTTTTCATCTTTTAATAATTCGATGTTGGAAAGTGAATCCTCTTAATATCACTCGCTAATGAAAACGAATCATCCGAATTACGTATAAATAAATCATCTAAGTAAAAAAGTTTGTGTAGAAATAATTTATGTATTTTAAAAATATATTTTTTGCTCTATCTTCGTGTAAGATTTCAATATTCAATAGTGAATCATCATCTATTTATTCTGCTAGACCTCATAAGAAAAAAAAAACAATAATGCTATGAATATAGATGAATCTTGAGTAAAGAATAATTCAGTTGGAAACACATTATCTTCTCCATCATTATCTAAAATAATTTTGAGTAGTGAGTTCTTTGCAATTCTACCGGATCTCCATTTAAAAAAGAAACACTTATATGCCATTTAAATCCATAAATAAATCTAATAAAATTAAAAAATTCTAATATGCATTTTCTACTCCAAGACATTCTCTGACTTTATTATCTGAAACTATTCATTTAAATTATGAATCACATGTTCACTCTACTGTACTTCTCATTGATGATATACATTTTCTATGAGTGTATATTCTAAAAATCTTTCGTTTGAATGTGATTAAATTAGAAAAATCCTACATAAAAGTCCATTTATAGACATCTATAAATAATATATTTTAAAACGTTTTATATATTTCAGGCTAAATAAAATATATCTTCATTGTTAATTCACGAGAAACTAAAATGTATTATTTAAAGAACAAGTAGAGAAGAATCTATATTTGAAAAAATATTCATAAAAATTCCGAAGAAAATGTAATTTAAATATTTCACATAATAGTATTTATTTCTTATATAGTGTATATAATATTTCAAGTATTTAAATGAATAATTGCTGAACTTAACCTGTTATGATTCTAAAATACATTTTTTTAAGATCCATTGTAGGCAGGAAGTTGGCAATAGTCAAGATGTAAAGGTGGATAATGGAAGTCTACCGACCTAGTTTCCAAGCTGACTTGATGATTCCGAGGCCAGCGTAACAGGTAGACGACCAAACTATCAGATCCAGTTAGTCGAACGTACGAAGTCGACACGATGTTTGGATCGTAAGTGGAAATGTGGTTTCAATCGTGGATTATTGACATTAGTTAGAAATGGGTGGATTTCGGAGGATTACGGTATTGCTTATTATTCAGCTTCTAATATGTAAGTAATATATTTACTAAATTTCATATTTTTTTATATCAATATATACATTTAATCATAGTTATGAGGATTATATATACCCTCTTACAATAAAGAGTATATTTGAATTATTTACTGAATCACTCGAGCGTAAAAACTGTTACTCGCTATGTAATTTGTAGTAAGTTTACAATGGAGTTAACATAAATTTAATAATTGAATATATATATTTATTTAAATTAATTTAATTTAACGAAATTGTATAGTTTAAATATATGGTGGGAAATTTATTAGCATATTCTGATTGTTTACAGCATTCACGTAAAGAAAGGTCGTATGAGAAGGAAGAGTTCAGACACTTGCCCTAAATATAATTTTATGTAGCTTCCACCTGTAGTTTGTTCATTAAAACAAGTTTCGCTAGTTTATATTAAAAGGATGGCATGTGAAGACCGTGAAAGGAAAAAAGTCAAAATATGAATTTTCAGTGCATATTTTGAAACGGAACGCCTTTAGAAATTTTAGAACTTAAAAAATGCTTTAAAGATTTTAATATAGCAAAACTACAGCATTTATTTTTAGGAAACTACAGGTTATAATCGCTTTTCTGAATTCTAAAACGGGAATTTTTTCTTTTAATTACAACTGGTCATCGACATTATGCACTTTTACTAAAGATATCTATGCTATTGCAGAAAAGGAAAAACTAATCAAAGATTTAGGCGAGGTCGATAATCTATAAATATTTAAATGTAAATAGAAATTTACTCGAATTGAATTTTTAAAGCTAGAAAAAAAATTTTTCGAGATTTTTATTTTATTTTACAAAGAGGATTAATTTTCTTGAGCCATTTATTTTATTTACTACTTTAATCCTATATTTCACTCGTTATCACAGAAAGAAATATAGGATATGAATGAAATTAAAGATCACTGACCCTATTCCGATAGTATAATATACTCTTGGCTCCACCCGTACGTGTGCAGATATGATTTTTATCCTTGCAAGGATATCCTTGTGGTCACAACGTCCTTCAAGAGGTAAAAACAAAACTTTAATTTGTGCATGGTTATATTCACCTCAAAGTCAGTTTAATATTTACCGATATTCTATACTAAAGTTTAGTTTTTTCAATACTTTCCTTTCTTACGAAGGGTGGTATTACTTTATAAATTTTCCTTAAGAATGATTTCTATCTATACAACTTATTAACCTGTTGATCGAATTGGGCTATTTTTTATATATATATATTTTTAATTATTGTAAACCGTGATGTGAATAATTTGTGCAAGTTGAAATTCACTTTGGAAGTAATCCAAATTTCCATTTTCTGTCCTTGTTCTACTTTGCACATTGGAAAGATTTTCAAAGGTTCTCCCATAAATGCATCAATTTTTCGTATATAAATCCAGTTTATATATAAACAATATATTATTGACAGAACAGGATATTTTAATCATAAAAACTATTTAAGTAGTAACTGGTTTTTTAAAACCTTTTTTAGAATTTTAATGCTTATTCTGTAACGCACTGAAATTAATAGCTCTTAAGTATAATTTTTAATTGTTTTTATTATTAAATTTTATAGTTTACAAGAGCATAAAAAACTTTTTAACAGCTTAACAAGTTTGGCCATTTTGAATATTACTACTATTTAGAAATAGCTCTTGTTGTTAACTATGTATATTTCTACACATTAATTTATGCAGCAATTTAAATCGAATTTATTCCAGTATATTTAACTAGATTAATTAGACATTTTCACACAACAAATTTGGAAATTTGCCTACAAAACCCCTATTGTTTATCAAGGTCTGACGTTAGTTTCCCCTGAGAATCGAAGACTTGTTCCTATGATATTAAATTTGATAAAAGATTAATGATAACTGTAGATCGACCTCGTACCAAACACTTCCGAACTAAGATATTCATACTGGTTTCGTTTCCCCCCATGACCCTTCGACAATGACTACTCTTCACTCGTTGGTACTGACTGTGTATTAGTTAAATTAGAAAAAGCCATAAAATCATTTTATATTTTGCTACTGTTGAATTCTTTTATGTGCTTCAAGAATAATTTTTATGATGGAACATTTTAATACTTACATTAATCTTGTTTAATGCAATTTTTGCAAATAAAATCTAAACATTCCATTATAATTTATCATGTTTGATTTCATAAATTTTACATTCTGTTAATTCTATAAATTCATTCTATTAATATAGGATGAAATGTTAATTTATTCTACTTTTCATAACACTATTACTTATGTGCTTAAATTATTGAGGTAGACCACTTGACTATAAGGAAAGAATTAGAATAAATTAAAGTCTTTTGAATATTATAATAATAATAAACTATAATAGAAGCATTCTTAGATTCCCGTTTCTCATCGAGGTTTCTATCTTTGTAAAAGTGGCTCTCACGAGTTAATTGAATTCATGTTTAAGATTTTATTTTAATAAATCAGGACAGTTCTTAAGAACCGAAATAAGAAATATTGATATTTGAATTGTTTTATAAATGTTAAGAGAAATTAGTAGAGAAAATTGTAGAGAATTGTTAATGAAACTTTAACTTTACCAGTTTTCTGAAAAACCTTGGTAAATCTAACTGAAACATTCTTGATCTTGACACAATTATTCTTAAACTTAGATTGTATTATCCTGCGATCATGTTTACATCGATAATTGATTTAACACTTGAGAATTAAATATTCAAACGATAGGATATACTAGAAGAGACTGCGTATTTTGTCAACTTCGTAACCTTGGCCTCGTTTAAGAATTTTTTTGTTGAATTCTTTACTACTAACTTGATATTTAATGTCGTCAATGATAATATAATAATAGATGATCTCAGAGATTCCTTCGATCCGATTTATTAAATTTCGTTTTAATTATATATATATATTTTAATTTCGATAATCGACAAAGAAATCTTTGAAAGACATTTAGAGCTTTACCGTGTTTATTAAGTTCAAATGGAAGAGAAAAAAACAATTCTTCATTAAGTTATTTCCTCGTATATTAACACACTTTTTCTTCCTGTTTGTAAATGGGTTATTTTTTAATTCTGTAATATATTGATGCCTGATAAGGAACGTATTTTTTAAACTATTTTTTGATAGTTTAATGAAGTTAGTACCTCCAAATTAAACGTCAGTATTTTTAATGTGAACAACTTGATGCCATCTGTCGACATTATCAGATATTAAGCTTAAAATAACATGTTATTAGCACTAGTAATAATTAGAGTGGACTATAAATAATCACAATTGTTTAAAGATGAGTTGCACAGATTATTTTTTCAAGTATCAATGAATGGTTTCATCCTAACTATGAATAATTCAAAAATAAAATTCAATTGTCTTCGCTTGTTACTTTCTAACGTGAGATCAAGCAACCTGAATTTTACAGTATTAATATTCTGCTCTATACTCAGATGATAAATATTTTTATTTAATCTGTTATCACGATTCTTCTCGTGAAAGTTGATGAAGTGTAACGCTCTTGACATGTGCCCTTTTTTATTGCACATGACTGTCTAAATTTGAATGATATTTAATCCGAATTCGATTTTTTAAGTATTTGTATTGTTCAATACGTATTCTAATCAGGTTTGTTCTATAATAAATTACCGAGATGAACGTACTAAATATCACGCTTCAGGTGAAAGGTTGGATGCCTTCGTAGGAAGTGACCTCGTTTCTGAAAAAAATAGAAATTTAGGTCGTTCTTATGTTTTCTTTCCGATTTAAATATCTTATGTACAGATATGGTTGGTTACTTTTGATAGAAATATATGTATATTTTGCAGATGCTGAATCGGTGAAAAGTGACAGTGCTATTCTTCCTACTGTAACTGTGCGTGGTTTTCTAAACTTTCGAACTACGGTGGACAATACTGTTATAGTATTTACTTCGGCTGAATCTACTGCCACGGCAAAACCGACTATTGCCACAACTACTACAACCACCACATCAAAAAAGGCAACTCAAAGCAATACCGTTGATTCACAAATTGCTTTAGAATTACAAGAGTTGGCTTACACTCAATCTCCAGAAAAAAATTCTGTCGGGTTATACAAACTTGGTTCGGATTTGGAAAGTGATGCTCGTTCTGGTAAAAATTCTTTTAGTCACATTTCCGATAATGTCGTCGTACCTTCTCCAGTTAATGTCATTTCTGATGAGACCCAGCATCCCAGTAACAGAATTGAGACATCTCAACCTCAATATCCAACCGGTTTAGTTACTGTTCTAAGAGCATCCAGAATCGATAAAGATACCACTACTATCTACGAAACCAAAGTTATTGGAACATACATAGATGGAAAATATGCACAGATCCTGCAAAGTACATCAGACATAATAAAACCGTCTTCGGTTATTCAAAGTGTAATCAAATCTACCTCTTCTGTTATACAACAAAAAGTTGAGGATACGCAGAAAACATTGCCAACTACACAGAAATCCACATCGTCTACTACTCAGCAAATAATTGAAAGTACGCATAAAACAACGACCACAACTAGTAAATCAACAACTACTACTTTTTCAAGTACAAACATCCAGTCATCGTTTGAAATTCCCGATCAAACAATTCAATATACCTCTCAAACCCAATCGTTAGATTTAATAAAAACTAATGAAAAACCAATCAAGAGTTCCATCACAGTTACTGATGAAGATAATAGAGTTCAGAGTTCACCACAAGTCAGAAGAACAACATCGAGATACAGATACATTCATCCTTCTAGAGAAACTCAAACGGTATTTATTGTCGATTTTTCTAAGAAATTTTTATTTAATCTAACACTAATTCATATATATATAATTTTGTTTTTAGGTACGTCTAAATCGCTTTAAAGTTAGATTGAGTCTTCGCCAAGATTCTGATGAAACTACTACTACCGAATCTGACATTCCTGAAGATGACGAAGTAACAGAGCCAAATAGAGAAGAAGTAACTAGTCCTCTACCACCTGTCGATCCGGCTCGAGTGGAATATAAATTAACTACTTTAACCCGAGAAGTTACTTTACACGTGGGTAGAAGGAAATCTGTAAGAACTCTTACCATTACTACTACTGTGCCACGCGTTTTGCACTCAACTGATATTCTACAAAATAGTACCGAATTTTTACTGAATCCGAGTACAGATAGCTATATTCCTTTGGAAACTCCATCTTTAGTTCTTTCACGAACATATTCAACTACAGAAAACACTTTCAAGACTTCTTTAGTACCTGTTTTCGATGGATTGAAGACAGTTATGCATACAATTACAGAAAGCTTTCATATTCTGAAAATCGTCACAGCATTTAAAACTCTCCCACCTGGAAATGTTACATTCTTAGAAGATGATGAATTGTTAGACTTGCCTAGTAACGATAGTAGCATAATTCCTACAGAACCTGTAGAAATAACACCGACATTAGCTATCACTTCACCACCAATGGAGACGCCGTATTTAACAAAATTAGAATCAAGTTACACTCCTATAGTTAGCTCTTCTACATCTTTACCTATCAAATATGCAAATAATCCCTTGTTAAGTTTAGGAGCGGCTTTATCTCAAAATCCGTTAGCAGCTGTGTATTTGGGATTACAGCAATTGAATCGACAAGTTACGTTGTATTCTACCATCACCAAGACATCATCTTACGTCACTACTGATACTATCTACAGCACTAAAACTGTACGTTATTTCCTCGGTGGTACTTCTAGAGTTAAAAAGATAACAGAACCCGTCTCTACTACTGTGAGAACCATTACTTCGACTACGACCAGCTTGGAACCGTATTTAAATACCTTAGCCTTCCAACAACAGCAACAACACCTACAACAATTGATCGCTACTCAAATGCCTCTTCCACCACAATTCAGTACTATCACTTCGTCCTACACAACAGTCACGACAGCAACTAGTTACAGTACCCGAGTTTATACCTTGATCTATAACGCGATCAGTACCAAGTACAGAACAATTACAAGTACCAGTCTGTATCCTACAACGGTGACATTATATAGCACCAAGGAGGTGCCTATCAGCGTGACTGCACCGACTGCCTTCCCCTACAGCACGCAATAAACGTTATATTGGATTTATTTTTCTACTTTTAATTTTTATAAATCTAAAAATTAATACATTTTAAAAATATTTATGTAGGTGAATACGCGGTATTTGCGTTTTTAAACTACTGTAATTTTATTCTACTATTAATACTACTATATTGTTAAAGTATAATGTATAAAGTTGTCGTCCTTCAGACAAAAGTTTGTTTAGTCTATTTTATACTGTTAAATGGAATTAAAAATACTTTGTTTACGATTTTATTATTCAAATTTAAAAATTCTATTGTCAAATTGTCGCACAAAATATTCCAAAAATACATCTGTATATATTAAATTTGGTAATTAAATGGTTATAATTTTTTTTTAAATATAGTAAAAATAGTTACAACTTTAAACGATAGATGGAAGCACATACTACAAGTCGTCAATTTCCTCGCTAATGGTTGACACCATTTTTAATTTTTTTTTTTTGTTCCATTCTTGTTGTATTTTGAATACTCGTCGATATTATTAATGCAAATTAATCAACCATAAATATCAAATCTCTAAAGTTTTTTTAAAAGAGTCATTGTTAACAGGATAGGACATTAGATTAAGTATATTCAGTTCAAGAACTTGAACTGAATAATCTTGTATTGTCATATTTTACACAGTACAAGTTTACATTATCATGTGATAATTACAACAATAAATTCATTTTCTAGCAATTGTTTTAAAACGATAGAAACAATACAATAGCTCTCTTTATTTTTAATATTAAATGTAATTATGTCCACAAAATGTTCCACTTTCTCATATTTAAGAAGGAAAATGTCCTATTTATAAATTCGTTCTCCTTTCAAAGAAGGAATACAGCTGTAAATTTTAACAAGTTACATTCTTATTATTTTTTTTCTATTTATTACACAATGTTTCACGCTTCTATTTTTTATAAACTGAAAGAATGCGATGAAAGATAGAGGTTAAAAGTGACAAACAATGGCCTCTGGTTAAAAACCGACCTTTTACTTTATCATGTTTATATATTAAAAACTTTTCACACTTTATAAGAATTCTTCTTGCGTATTTTACATGTTCCATATTGTGCTAAAGGTCGAAATTTTATAGACTATCTCCTAACATAAGCTTATAGAAGAATAATACAGTATTTCTTTACAGAAATGATAAAGAAATTTTATAATTCATTAATTAGATCAATTTGAAACATAAAATAAGATTTATAAATATTATATTTGTAAGAATTAACAAATATTTATTACTGTTTATGAATGTATTTATGAGGCACATAAATGAATGATATGCGTGCTCCACAGTTTATTTAAATAAATTCCATTTTTATAATTAAAAAACCAAGTTCTAGACTCCACTTATAGCACGCAAAAGTTTTGAAATATATTGATTTTAAAGGTATTTAACGTTAAAAAAAATTTTTTTAAGTTTATTTATAAATAATGATCGAAACAATTATATAAAGTTGTTATATTAATACTTTAAGCATAGAAATAATCAATTTTGATATTTCTTAAGTCGGTAGCTATCATTAACTACATATTTTGATAATCTATTTTTTTTCTTTTAAATAAATCTGTGTGTGTGTCGGCTCCGTTTAAGTAATTCAGAACATTTTATGAAAGTAATTCTAGAAGTGAATGGTTGTTTTGATAAGATAGAGCTATGTGAACATTCCTGTCGTCGATACGGCTTTATAAATCTCTCATTTTTGTTTTCTTTCATTTATAAATATCAAAATTAAACGAAAAGAGGTGATAAGAGTTATATAAGAAGCCGAAAAGGAACGTTAAAATAAAAAAGAACTACGTTTAAGAGTATTACATAAAGTTAAATGGACCGAAAAGGTAATTATTAAGGAAGTAATAAAGTAATGAAAACATTAATTCAGAATACAAAAACAGGATAAAGTATAAAATAAAGTATATTTTTTTTCAATTTTTATCTGAAAATAAATAAATAAAATATTTTAAAAAATATAGAGATGGAAATTTATAATTTAATTAAATATTTTCGAAAAATTAAGATGCTTTTTAAAAATTAATTAAAGTATTTTGATGTTTACCTATGCAAATATTTGTTGTTAAATATTTAAATAAATAAATTATAATATTAGACATTTTTGAAAAGAAATATTTAAGATAAAAAACAAATAAATATTAAAAGAAATGTCTTCAAAACAATAAATTACAAGATATTTGTTTGAAAAATAACGATTAAAAAATACTTGACAAAAAGATAGAAAAATAATACTTTCTTAATCTTTAAATTTCGAAATTTTAAACGAAATATTTTGAAGAAAAAAAATATATTGAGAAAAATAGGTTCAATATGCTTTATAATAACAAACACAAAAAGCATTTACTATAAACTATCAGAAGAATAGTAATAAAAACATGACATAAGAAATTTAATGTCACTTTTGAAAGGAAATATTTAGAAAAGTTTTCTTAAAAATCATATTCATAAATACAAATAAAACACAAGGCTTGAAATCTTAATTCTAAGGTTTGTGTTTTTCATTCTATTAAATATTAATATATTAATAAACAAATTATCACGTAGAAAGATTAAAGAATATGCTAATAGTACAATTAGTATAAGACTATTTCTATTACTCTTTTAAGACTATTTTTGCTCTTTAGTTTCTTGTATTTTCGAAAATTTAAAGTTTTTAAATCTATTTTATTTAATTGAATATTTATATATTATTGTAATAATGTCGTGTAGACAGGATATACGGCCTATAAGGTCGTATAGACAGGATATTCGTCTATAACAGCGGTTTCCAAAGCGTGGGTCGCGAACCCCGGGGGTCGAGACAGATTTTACACAATACAGTAAAACAAAAACAGCCGTATTAATATACATTTCGTATTTACAACAAAAAATTAGTGTGAAACATGCTTGTTTTGCAGAAACTATCTTTTCAAATCTAGGCTCTGTATTCTAAACACACATAATTAAATCATTTTAAAGTTAAGGCGATTTCTTGCTTTTGTTTTGATGGCAGCCACCGATGGTAAACTTTTTTGCAGAGATGTGAGGTTGCAAATGGTATCAAAATTGTGAAAAAAAGAGGATATAAATGGGAAAAAAAGACAAAATAGTAGGAGGTCGCTAGCAAAAGTCTCAATAGTGTTCAAAAGGGGTCGCAATTTAATAAAATTTGGGAACCCTTGATCCATATACATAACATACTACATAATAAATTTATTAGGAATATTCTGTATGAAAGCCTGAAGTATATTAACATATTATAATATAAAAACCAAATACAATATATATATACGTAGTTTATGGGTATGGGCGCCAACTCAAAGGGTCCTGAATTCGTTTAGCTCCCAATAATAAATTAAGTGATGTCGTTCCCCAAAGTTGAAGGATAAAAATTATTTTAATTTTTTAATTTTGGGGTGGCATAACTTAAAATATTACTGAGGGCTGAACGAATTCCGGCCCCTTAGAGTTAGCACCCATGTATACGGGAATACGTTATTGAGTACGACTATGAAAAAGTACTACTTAAAAAAAGGTAATAAAGTAAAAAATATAACCGTTTCTCTGGAAAAAGATAACATCAGGTCCTATCTTATGACCTTTACAACAGAAAAAATTCTCATTTTAATAGCCAATTACAGTCGGTTACATCCCTGACTTTGCTATAAAACTTATAATGATAGTTCTATAAATAAAACAAAAAAAAATCCCTCATAAACCACGGAAAATATGAAGAGATATTTTTATTTATTTAAAAAGTTTACAAATCTTAGCATCTGTAATACCGTAAATTATCATAACAGCATATACAACACTTTGTATGATACATTACATATAGGTCTAATGAATTAATTGGATGATAAATTGTAGAAAATATAGTTTAAAAGAATTAATTAAAGTGTAAAAATGATGTTATTGTATTTAAAATAAAGTTTAATTAACATAAAATAAAAAATAAACAGAAATTATTAAAATGTGTTTATTACAGTATGTTTATAAGAAAAGAAGAACAAGGAAAGGCAAGACAAGAAACAAAAAACCAAAAAAAAATCAGAGGAAATGTTGAAGTAGAAAAATTTAACTGACCGAATAGAACGAGTGGATTGGTATAGACATGTAAAAAGAATGGATGACAAGAGAATCCCATGACAGATGATGAAACAAAAATCTGAAGGCAAAAGACCCAGGGGAAGACTACTGAAAGATGGTAAAATCAGATAATGGAGGATGTAAAAAGAAGACATAACAATGTAGCCGAGATCTTAGAAGAGTGCTGGAGAGAGAAAAAAAAAAGAGATTGGAGACCATTGATCCACTGCCCTATCTAGAATATTTCTGGATAAGGACGAGGATAATGATGACGATGATGATGATGATGATGATGATAAAGTTTTGAAGGGTAACAAAGACTTACCTCGAATTTAAGATGCATCCCAATGTTATATTCGAAAATGTTAAAAAAGTGCTTCTTAAATTCAAATGTAAGCAAATCTTTTTTTGTTTATATATTCAGATTTATTTAGATTATTTTCTTTATTCAGTGTTTTAATAAAATTTACTATTATAAATTATACACGTACATTTGTATTCCAAAACCATTCTTCCTCATTCAAAGAAACAATTACTATAGTACATATTCAACAATTGATTTAAATACAATGACGATAATATTGATAATATAATTACAGTAGTTCCTTCTAGCATTTAATTATTTTATATTTTGTTAGTAGAAGAACTGGAATTAAATATTTGTTGCGATTCTATTATCACAACAAACAACCGACAATTGAGCTCTTATCGGAACCAAGTACAAGATAATTACTATTTTAAATTTACTATTAAAGTTAATAGCATGTGCTGCTACTACNACCTTTAATGATGCTATCATTTTTTTTTATAAAGGTAGGTTATATATAAATAAATATTTTACATAATTCTAAATATTTTAAAACTTTATCTGATTTTTTTACAAATTTTTTCGGGTGTTTTTAGGTTACTTTATATTTA